AAAATACACATAACATAAAAGTTATCATTTTAACTACTTAAAAGTGTACAATTCAGTGGCATCAAGCACATTGACAGTGCTGTATAATCATCACCATCTAGTTCTAGAACTTGTTCACTATCCTGAACAGAAACTTTGTAATCATTAAGCAGTCTCCTCATTACCTCATCCCTAGAGCCCTTGACAACTACTAATCTGCTTTCTGTTTCTATGGATTTTCTTATTTTGGATATGTCATGTAAGTGGAATTATACAATATGTTGCCTTTTGTGTCTGGCTTTTTTACTTAGTGTAATGTTTTCCAAACTCATCTGTGTTATAGCATGTATTGGTATTTCTATGCTTATTGATTTTAGAGGGGAAGAGAGAGAGAGCGAGAGACAGAGAGAAACATCGATTGGTTAGGCCCTGACTAGGGATCAAACCAACAACCTAGGTATGTGCCCTGACCAGGAATTGAACCCACAATCTTTCGGTATAAGGGATGGTGCTCTAATCAACTGAGCCACACTGGCCAGGGCTCATTCCTTTTTAAGGCTGAATAACATTCCATTGATAAATACCACATTTTCTTTATCCATTTGTTTATTGGTGGGCATTTGGTTGTTTCTACCTTTTGGCTGTTGCAAATAGTGTTGTATAAACATTTGTGTACACATTTTTTTGGACAACTGTTTTCAATTCTTTGGGATTGTATTTATCTAGGAGTGGAATTGCTGGGTCATTTCTTTTAACATACTGCCCTTACTACTTTTCAGATCATATCAGTTATTTTCTGTTTACATTCAGTCCTTCTGATTAAATCATGGAAAGTCTCAAGATGACTTTCAGACATCTCACTATGTTAATTTCCCTTTTAACAAATACAGAGCAGGCCTGTTGCTTCAAACCTTTGGCATAGCTGAAATTTAGTACTTTTCATTATATTTCCTTTATTGTTACATTTTATTTCTATAGCAAGTGATAACTGATTTCACATGTATAGTTGTGAAAGTTTGCTTTTTATGTAAATGTATGTAAAGTACAGTGATACACAGAATTTGCAAAATATAATGAAGATTGATCAGAAATATGGTAAAAATGTGTAAAGGTGATATGAAAATGACTTCAAGTTTGGGAAATAGAGACTTGAGCTATGGAAACATATCCCTTCTCAGTCTTTGCCATTTCCAATTAACTTTCTATGCCATTATTAGAATAATTTATAATAACTTGGATAGGATCATTCTCTTATTCTTGAACATTTAATCCCCATTGGATAGAGTAAAATTCAAGGTTGTTTAGCTAGACATTTGATGTCCTTCATTATTTACTCCAACCAAACCAGTCTAATTATTATTTTTAACTAAGCTTATACTTTCCTAACATTGTGCATTCTCATGCCATTGCCATTCTCCTTAGTTTATATTGCCATTTAGTCATTCTATTTTCACATATTTATTGAAGTTCTGATATGTGCTAGGCACTGTACTGTGGGCTAGAACTACTGCAGTGGTTTTCTTATTGAGTTTATACTTATGGGAGAGCATAGATTAAACACAGGCATAATTCTTTAGTGACAACTGAAATAGAGTGATGGAAAAGTAGAGTGTTAGGAAAACAAATAGGATATCTATTTTAGTTGAGATTTAAGGGATGGTTTCAAAGACGACCTCTTGTTGAAAACATCATTTAAGCTGAGATCTAAGTTACTAGTAGGTATTAGCTTATTGAAGAAATGGACAGAGGGAGTAGTAATGTGCAAAAGTACTGAGGTCAAAAGGATCATGGCTTAAGTATTATGTTAATTATTTAATATGTTTATTTTGCCTGGAGAAATTTAAGTATATGGTGTTTTCTCAATAATAATGTCCTGGTCTATACAATATTACTTTAAAAATTTTATCATGTAGCCCTACCTCAAAGAATTTTTATTTTTAAAGATACACTTAAAAAATGACTGTAAATAGTCAAGTATTAGATCCAAGTCTTGAAACTATCTTGGGAACTTATATAGAAGTCCCATCCTATATAATAAAAGCCTAATATGCAAATTGACTGAATGGTAGAATGACCAGCAGAACAACTGGTCACTATGATGCACACTGACCACCAGGGGTTAGACGCTGAATACAGAAGCTGCCCCCTTCCCACAGGCCCCAGGCCGGCCTAGGCGGTTGCCAGTGGGGCCCCCGATCACCCCACTGGTCGCCCCAGAGAGAGAGGTGACCAGTGGCAGCAGCAGCAGGGGATAGGGCCGGCAAGCAGGCGGTGCCAGGAGGGCTAAGGCGGGTGCTAGCAGGGGACTATTGATCTCCCCACTGGTCACCCTGTAGATTGGCCCTAATTGCTGGCCAGGCCTAGGGACCCCACCCATGCATGGATTTTGTGCACTGGGCCTCTAGTTTCTATATAGAAATTTATGTAGATTTATGATATACTAGAGGCCCGGTGCATGAAATTCATGCACCGGGCATGTGTGACCCCTAGCCCAGCCTGCACCCTCTCTAATGTGGGACCCCTCTCACAATCCAGGACCACTGTCACCCAACTGCTCGCCTGCCTGACTCATTGCCCCTAACCACTTCTGCCTGCCAGCCTGATCACCCCCTTTCCACTCCCCTGCCAGCTGATCAATGCCTAACTGCCCCCCTGCTGGCCCAATTGCCCCTAACTGTCCTCTCCTGCTGGCCTGGTCACCCCTAACTGCCCTCCTCTGCCAGCATGGTTGCCCCTAACTGTCCTCCCCTGCCAGCCTGGCCACCCCTAACTGCCCTCCCCTGCCGGTCTGCTTGCCCTTAACTGCCCTCCCCTGCAGGCCTGGTCCCTCCAACTGCCCTCCCCTGCTGGCCATCTTGTGTCCACATGGGGGCAGCCATCTTGTGTGTTGTGTGATGGTCAATTTGCATATTACCTCTTTATTAGACAGGATAACATGTGTTTATACTACATATTTAATATGTATTTATACTTTTTATGATAAATTTATACTATTATATATCATGCTTATAATATATACCTATATTATATATCACAGTATGATACATATATGATACAGGTTATATAGATTTATATACAAATTCCCTGGGTAACATTTTGGCTTATTATTGCTTGTAGGCACCCATCAAGAAGCCAGTCAGTAAGAAGGCATATTAGGTTTTAGGCATCCTCCTTTGCTATTTACTTTTTTGTCAATTCTCTGATCAGCTTTATGGTTGGCTCTTTGATATCAATGGAAGGATACATTAAAATTGTTCTCTCTTTTCATTCTGAATTTTTATTGAGATATAATTAATATACTATACAATTCACCAGTGTAAGGTATACAATTCAATAGTTTTTAGTACAGTAGATTGTACCTGATTCTTGGAAAATTGACAAAAACCTAAGGGAGCTTGCTGGCAAGGAATACTACCCAGCCATGCCACACAAACATGTGTTAGGACCTACACTGTTTCTACGGCCAGTTTAAATAATTTACTTACTGGTAGTTTATTTGACAGGTGCTAGCTGGAGTTCAAAGTCTAGGGTAGGTGTGGCTTGGCTGAGATCTTGTTCTGATTGCCAAGAAGGGAAAGATCTCCTTCCTTTGGCTTCTCCTTTTTGGTCTCTCACCAAAACTCTCATAATAAGGGATTTGCCCCCAAGTAAAAAGGGGGTTTGGACTTAGGAAGACCCCTTAAAAAGAGAGACAAATTTTCCTTCACAACTACCTATTAAAATATATTTCTAAAAAATTCTGTGTGTTGACATGTAGTTTTATGCTTTTTAAAATACGAGGTGAAATTGTTAAAGGCATATCATATTTTTGGAAGACAAATGAGTGTCTCTGTTTTACAAAGTGTGGACAAAAAAGGGGCCGCATACTAAATCTGACAAGCTCAGAGGAGGCCTGCATAGAGGGCCTTACAAACTCGGAGACCTAAACTAAACCACATAGAATGCTCAGAGATTGAAACTTCCTAACTAAAAATATGTCATGGTAGGTAGTCATGTCCTAGGACTGAATCTTCCTTGACAGTCTTTACCATAATGGAGCCTCTCTGTTGTCCTTTTGCTGCTATGGTAACCTACCGTTGGAATATCAGAGTAATCTTCTTTTCCAGACTCCTCAGGTCACAATCTCCCACCAGAGCACAAGACCACCATGAACCCCTCATTATTTTATTTCACAGATACCGTCTCTGTGTGCCGTATTAGTTAATTGTTAACTATCCTATACCCACCAATGCAGTTGTGGTACTTTATTAGAGAAAAATGGTTTTGATTCTTTTTAAAGTAAAACTATCTTAGATATCCCTAAATTGTATAGTATAGGCATGACTTACAAAGGTAAGATTATGTATTTTCCTAAGAAAAAGAATCAGAGAGAGTAAAGGTGATTGCCAGATATGTATATATATTTATTTCTTTTCGACATTTTCTTTGGTAGACAAAAAACATTTTATATTTAAAATGTGTCCAAAATGTTGCTATAATTTATAAAAATAGATACGACCAAAACGCACAGTAAACCCACATGTCCTAAATGTTTCAAAACATATCAGTGAAAAAGTTGCTTAAATCAAATTAAGACCAGAGCTGCTAATTCAGTTATGAAATATTTGCGTTCTTACCAGTTTTCCTTAGCATATAATTTTTTCATAGTACATTTCATGAATTATTGCCTTTTTATAAACAAGATGACATGTAAGAACTTTTTTCCTGGGTATATATGTGCTATATGATTTTTGGGAAAAGAAATGTGGATTTGCATTAAAAATTTTTTTGGGGGGGATGTTTATTATATACATGGATGCTTTTGACTCATAAGATCTTGACTCCAGTAATAATATTAATGTCTCCATTTTAATTGCAGATTGTAATATGGAATGTAGATCAGGTACAGACAGATAACTTAGAAATGTTTTCATCATCACAGCAGAATAGTTATAAACATTCAGTCTTCTAGAAGGTTCCAAACTTACAAATTCTCCTATTGCACATTGCAATAGGCAGCAGAAAGTCATTTCGCTATTACAGAATTCTTATCATTTCATCATCACAGTTAAACTTGTTCTGAGTTTTTATATCCTTTTTTCCAGGACTTCAGATGTTTTGATGTTTTAAAAAATTTCTTCTTTCAACTTTCTGTAATTAGAAAATGAGAGTTTTATAAATTTGGGCTGTTCTTGTTTCCCAATGATAGTTGACATGCAAAAACATACAGCAAAAAAGAAAAACTAGCTATAACCAAAGACCCCTTATCAAAACACTTCATACAGGATCGTAGAATCTTTTCTGAAGTTGTCTATTTTATTTTTTCCCCCCAAGAGATCTGTCTTGGATAAAACATTATAAAACAGAAGTAATCTGGTAACCTACCTTTATTAGAATGTTTGCTTGCTTTGATCTGGGATTTAGGCATCTTTGTCCTTTATGTGCTTTTAAGGTGATACTGTTAAAGGAATATACAAAACAGTCTTAAATTTTGAATGGAAAAGCATAAGCAAAAAAAAACCCCAAAACGCCTCTATCATTGTCATCTTTAGCAAGTCCATTACTTACATCACTTCTACTTTGTCACAGTTGTTACTTGGGTAAAATACAGAGATTTTCTCAATATCTGCCACTTTCACTGCCTTGACTCCAGGACGGATGCAGAGACAGCGTCCTCCTTTGAACATTGGGAAACCTAAAACAGATCATAGCATCAGTTACTAATGGATCTGATTGCAACAGCGGACCATGGTTTATAATTCTGGTGAAGAATGTGAGCCAAGTTTTCATTAAGGATAAAGATGGTCATTTGTCAAATAGCACTTGACACTTCTGTTACTAGGAAAGGAGCTTAAGTAATATATTAGTGATTTTCTCTTTAAATTTGTAACCAAATCGTTAAAGAATAGATGAAAGCATAAAAGAAATCTTGGAGATCAAGCTTATTTGCCTTTTGCTTTAATGCTCAAGAATTTTTCCAGGATGCTAGTAACATTATTTCACAAAAATCTTTTTAACAGACATTTAAAACTATTGCTAAAGGCTCTTGCCAGATTTTGTAGCCAAATGCATTTCGTGAAATTTATCATCTCTAGTTTCAATAATCATCTCTAATGCCTCAAACATTTCTTACATTCTCTGTCAAAGCTGTAATAATTTCTAATGTGTGAGGTTAAGTAAAAATTTAGTATCTTTTAGGATAAAAGTGGAAAAAAAGAACATTTGAAAAATTAGAAATTTATAGGCTGAGAAATAAAAAGTATCATATACCTTGAGCAATTGTAGCACAGAATATCACAGCCAAGACCATAGCCATGCCCTTCACATTCATGTTTGTTGCTGCTGCTTTAAATTTGATCTCTTCTTGGAGGGAGTAGAAAAGCTGAACATAGAAGGGAATTCTTAGTTGGCATAGAGAGGGCATTTTATATACTAGCAATCCTTAATGGCGACAGGAATTTCCCTCCTTGAGTCATGCTCCTTTCTTGCTTCCCAGAGTTTCTGTTTTGTTCTCTTCTAAATATCACTCTCCCTTCCTAGTTGTTACAGTGTCGAAAGTAATACTAACACGAAAGCACTTTTTACTATAAAGAGTAAACAGCCGTGCATCCAGATAGGAAATAGCCTTCTTAAGGTGTCATTTCCTAGAAATGTATTTAATTATTGGATTACCCCTGGGCAGTGGAATTCTGATTGCCATTCTTTTTTTTTTTAATTCAGGAAGATTGTCTTCCTGTTTTCAGTTCTTTCACTCTCATTCTTCATATAACTATACAAAAGAATATTTTTTAAAAAAACAAACAATTTTTAGCATTTTACTTTTGCTTTTAAGTCCAAACTCTTATCATTTATACAAGTCCTACATTATTTAACATGAAATGACTTTTATTTAACCTTATTTATATTTTTGGCAACTATAATTGCATGTCTAAAGAAGTCTGCCTATATACTTCTGAATTTATAGCCATTTCTTTTTTTTTCTGTTTAAATGTGTCCCATTTATTTATTTTTTATTGTTTAAAGTCCTTTATCCATTTTGAGTTTATTTTTGTGTATGGTGTAAGTTGGTAGTCTAGTTTCATTTTTTTGCATGTATCTGTCCAATGTTCCCAACACCATTTATTGAAGAGACTGTCTTGACTCCATTGTATATTTTTGCCTCCTTTATCAAATATTAATTGAGCAAAATGGCTTGTGTTGACTTCTGGGTTCTCTGTTCTGTTGCACTGGTCTATATGCCTGTTCTTGTGCCAGTACCAGTACAATGTCTTTATACTATAGTTTGATATCTGGTATTGTGAACCCTCCAACTTTGTTCTTCTTTCTCAAGATTGCTACAGCTATTCAGACTCTTTTTTTATTCCAGATGAATTTTTGGAGAATTTGTTCTAGGTCTTTGAAGTATGTCATTGGTATTTTAGTGGGGATTGCCCTTTAGTCCACAGGCTGATGCTTTGTCCACTGAGCCAAACCGGTTAGGGCTGTCTATCTCTTTTTTGAGCATCCTGTAACTTTCTGAGTACAAATCCTTTACCTCCTTGGTTAAATTTATTCCTAGGTATCTTAATTTTTTTGTTGCAATGGTAAATGGGATTTTTTTTTTAGTTTCTCTTTCTGTGAGTTCATTATTGGTGTTTAAAAAAGCCATACAAAATTATTAACTTCTGGGTGTTAATTTTGTATCCTGCTACATTGCTGAATTCATTTATTAAGTCTAGTAGTTTTTTTGATGGAGTCTTTAGGTTTTTCTATGTACAATATTATGCCATCTGCGAATAATGACAATTTTACTTTTTTTCCAGTTTTTGGTTTGTTTGTGAATCCTCACCTGAGAATATTTTTTCCATTGCTTTCGGAGAGAATGAAAGGGAGAGAGGGAGGGAGGGGGAAAGGTGGGGGAAGAGAGAGAAACATTGATGTGAGAGAGATGCATGGATTGGTTGCCTCCCACACTTGCCCAGACCGGAGTTGGGAAGTGAACCTGCAACCCAAGCATGTGCCCTTGACTGGGAATTGAACCTGAAGCCCTTTGGCGCATTGGCCGATGCTCTAACCACTGAACTACCAGTGATATTATTTTTGCATATTTAACAGTTTTTATTTTATATATATATTTAGCACAGCTATTTAGCACATAAAGCTGTATGAGTTGTGGATTTAAAAAAACCCCACCATCTTATTTTCTTACGTAATGTTTTTATGGCTTGTGTTCTAGTTTGATGTAACCCCTGCTTTTTATCTTTACCTTTTCCTCTCAAGCTTTCTAAATCTATTTGTTTTAAGTGTGTCACTTGTAGACACTTAAAAAAAATCAAATCAAGGGATTTTAATAGGTAAATGTATTTACTGTATAATTAGAAGATTTTAAAAACGCTTTATTGCTATTTCCTGTCGTTATGTTTTCTTACTAATGTTAAATATATTCCCTTTTACATTTTTATGTGATTTGAAAGAAATACATAATTTTGTGTTTTGCTAGTAATCTTTAATTTTTTTATGTATAAACTAGGACTTGATTCTATGTCATATTGTTTTAAATAGGCATAATTCACTTAGCTGGGGTGGCTGGGTTAGAGCATTTTCCCATGCACAGAAAGATTGTCAGTTCGATTCCCGATCAGGATACATATCTACTAGTAGGTTGCAGGTTCAATTCCAGGTGGAAGCACATACAAGAGGCAACCAATCAGTGTTTCTCTCATACATTGATGTTTCTCTCCCTCTCCCCCCACCCCCCCCTGTTCTCTCCCTCCCTCCCTCCTTCCTTTCCCCTCTCTCTAAAATTAGTAAGAAACAAAAAAGTATCCTCTGGTGAGGATTAAAAACAATAAATAAATACATACATAAATACATAAATAAATAAGTAGGCATACTTCAAATTTTATAAAACATGAACAGACTTCCTTTTGCTTTCATGAATTACTATTTGGCTGGGTAGAAAACTTGTGGGCCATAATTTTCTCCTTCAGAACTCTGAGTATGTTGTTTTATTGCCAACCATTACTACATAATATTGTACATGTATATAATATGGTACATAATATTTAAAAACATCAGAAACTAGTTCCTCCCCACCCCAGGTCCTTTGGACATACACAGACATTTTTCACCTAATCATTCCCATATCAGACTATTCGCGGTCTCTAATTTTTCTGTGTTTCTAAATATTCTAGGAGGGAGTAGGGGAGAAGACAGGGCGAAGAAAAATCCTCACCTTCTTCTTCCTGTGAGGAAGACCACCAGCAGTCTGTAGGGAGGGTGCTGCTTCTGCTTGTGTATGACCCCAGAAGACGGCTCTTTCTACCCATGTGGATGCAGCCTCGTCTGCTTTTCCTCAGAGCTGAGTTGCAGTTTGGATGCTGAGGAAGGTTTATTTAGTTCTTCACTTCAAGTCCTCAGGTAATAGATCCAAAATTATGCAGAGTTGGGAGAGGAACTGGTTTTGAATTTTAATCTTTTCATCTCATTTTTTAAAAAAAATATATTTTATCGATTTTTACACAGAGGAAGGGAGAGGGATAGATAGTTAGAAACATCAATCAGCTGCCTCCTGCATGTCCCCTATTGGGGATCGAGCCTGCAACCAAGGTATGTGCCCTTAACTGAAATCGAACCCGCGACCCTTCTTCAATCGCAGGCCAATGCAGGGTCCACTGAGCAAAACCGATTAGGGCTCACCTCATTTTCTTGAACAGTACAAAAAGTGAGCCTAATTAGGCTCTGGCAGCTGCTAATATGGCCACATGCTTTGTTCTTCCTTAACACTCTCCTTCGTTAATGTCTCCTCCCGTGTCCTGCCTTAAAGTTTACTGGAAAGCACCACCCTTTTCCACAGTAGATAATTTGCTCATTCATTCATTTAACAAATATTTATTTTAGGTTCTCTTACATGCTTGGCACTCTTGAGTATTGAAGATAGAGCTTCCTTTTTGTGTCTTGCAAATTTTGCAGCTTTCTAACTAACTCATAGTAGAAGATAGTCTGCCTGATTTCTGCTGTTTCTGTAGATGTGTGTTTTCAGGACTATGAGTTGTTCTGGACTAAATACTTTCTAATATCATGTGCGGAGAAATAACTTCTTTCGGAATATCCCCTCATCCAGTGAACTTGAGGAACCTTCTTCCTCCTGTTCATATAACCTGGTTCCTCTAGTTTTCTCTTCCTTTAAGTTGTGATATCTTCAGGAAGCCTTCTTCAAGACATAAAGATTTCTTCTCCTGGCTTCATAGCACTTACTGTTGTATAGCTTTATCCAGTAGAAAATATAATGTGAGCCTAATGTGAGCCACATATTTAATTTTAAATATTCTAGTTATCCACATTTAAAAACTAAAAAGAAACAGGTGAAATTAATTTTGATAATATATTTTATTTAATCCAAAGCATGAAAAAAGTATTCCAGTGTGTAATCAATAAAAATTATTAAATAAGATTATTTTAGTTCTAAGTCTTCAAATTAGACAAGCAACATTGTAAATGCTCAGTGTTGCTCTAGCCAGTATGGCTCAGTGGGTAGAGCATCAGTCTACAGGCCAGAGGGTCCCAGGTTTGATTCTGGTCAAGGACACGTACCTTGGTTGCAGGTTCCTTCCCTGGTCAGGGTGTTTGCAGAAGGCAAGCAATTGATGTGTTTTTTTCACATTGATATTTCTGTTTTTCCCTCTTTTTTCCACTCTCTGAAAATCAATGGAAAAAAATATCTTCGGGCGAGGATTAAAAAAAAAGAAAAAATGTTCAAATGCTCAATAGTCACATGGTTAGTGGCTACCATATTGGATAGTATAGGTCTAGTTTTTCATTTGGCATGTGCATATTATACTGCCTTGACACTTAATTTTAAAGAAAGAAGGGATGGAGAGGAGAGATACTATGCTTTTTGTTTTGTTTTAGAAACTTTTCTAAGTCTCCCTAATCCTTTTGTTCTTTTCCTCTTCACTAAGTCATTATATATACTTCATTGTTCTTTCTCTGATTAAGCAGGACAAAGATTAAACTGCTCTGTCTTTTTAGTAGCATTTGCCAGATCTCTTGTTGTTTCTGGAGTTGGACTGTTTCAGGTTCAATGACTCAACCAATTTTTCCCTTGAATTTAAAGGAGAATCTCGGGAAACTAATCTAGTTTCTATAATTAATCAACAAACTCTTCTAAGCTTAAATACCCTCTAATCTGTGAATCATCTGAACTTTTAGTTATGATCTCAAGTTATCCAATTAATATAGACTTTTCAAATGTTTCAAGTGTTTAAAATATTTTCAAGTGGGAAGAGATTAATGCAAAACATTTAGTTTTAATTCCCAACCCACCATTCACTAAGACTATAAAATATATTTATTACAAAAATAATAAGTAATATCAAGGATATTTTGTCTAGTTAAAG